CGGCTACAACGCCCGCGCGCCCCTGCATTACCTGGGGCCGGTGCTCTCCAACCTCAGCCAGCGGCCCGCGGCGAGGGCCTTCCTGCTGGACCGGGACAGGTGCGCCCCAGGCGGCCCGCGGGGAGGGGGAGTGAGCAGGGACAGCACTGAGTGGCCCCTCCCTTCAGGTGCGTGGTCCAGCGGCTGCTGCCCCTCACCCAGTACCCGGACTCCACAGTGCGCAGGGGCGGGGTCGTGGGGACGCTGCGGAACTGCTGCTTCGAGCACCGTGAGTGGTTGGGGGCGGGGGCGTTGCGATGGGGGGCAATGGAAGGGGAGGCTGAATTCTAGGGCCCCTCTAGACTGGAGTGGCCCCCATCCCCGTCTCTTACCCCCTCCAGGACACCACGAATGGTTGCTGGGGCCCGAGGTGGACATTCTCCCCTTCTTGCTACTGCCCCTGGCTGGGCCTGAGGACTTCTCTGAGGAGGAGATGGAGCGTGAGTGGCTGAGGTGGAGCCTCAGGCTTGGCTTAGCAGGAGCGGAGGACAGGAGTGGGAGGGGGAGGGATTGTCCCCATCACGGCCCCTTCTGAAACCTCCTAGCGAGAGTGGCTGAGCACAGATGGGGCTGACAAAGGTGGGGTCTGGCCCGGTGGCCCAGCACAGGGACTCCCACATCCACCCCTAGGGCTGCCCGTGGACCTGCAGTACCTGCCACCAGACAAGCAGCGGGAGCCTGACGCAGACATCCGGAAGATGCTCATTGAGGCCATCATGCTGGTGAGCAGGGGTCCCGCTGCAGGAACCCCACCCCCCAACATAGACGCTGACATCTAACGTCTGCTCTCTCTCAGCTGACGGCCACAGCACCTGGTCGGCAGCAGGTGAGGGACCAGGGAGCCTACCTGATTCTCCGAGAGCTGCACAACTGGGAGCCTGAGTCTGATGTGCGGGGGACTTGTGAGAAACTCATCCAGGTGGGTGCAGGGTTTGGGGGGAGAAGGGGGATGGGGGCGTGCCCACGGTGTGCCAGCGCCTGCTCACCTGCCTCCGATGCTGCAGGTGCTTATTGGGGATGAGCCGGAGCGTGGCATGGAAAACCTGCTGGAAGTGCAGGTGCCTGAGGATGTGGAGCGGCAGCTGCAGGAGCTGGACCGCCAGGAGCAGGAGCAGTGCCTGCGGGAGCAGCAGGAGCGGGAGCTATCTCCAGAGCCACAGGCGGAGGGGGCTGCACCCACCTGAGGCACCTGCACAGACCACCGCCAGCTCCAGGCCCACCTTGACGAGCCCACCCGTCCTGGCCTCCCAGATCAGGCCTTCCTGCAGCTGCCTGCAGGCCTCTGGGTCACCTTGCTCCGAGGCTGTGCCCTACTGAGAAGCAGAGCTACACTTAAGCTCTGGGTTCATGCTGAGGGCTCTCGGGCTAATGCCCCTGAAACATTGGAGGGTTGTGGGCACCTCCCTGTGCCCTGTTGCTTGAGCAAAAATGCAGCTGGTGCCTGGCCAGCGTGGTTCAGTGGTTGAGCATTGACCTATGAACCAGGAGTCACGGTTTGATTCCCGGTCAGGTCAGGGCACACTGAGCCGGGTTGCAGGCTCCATTCCCAGCATGGGGCGTGCAGGAGGCAGCCAATCATAGTTCTCTCTCATCGCTGATGTTTCTCTCTCTCTCTCTCCCTTCCTCTTTGAAATCAATAAAAATATATATTTTTTAAAATGCAACTTGTTCAGAGGAGCTGGCCAGGTCCTGTGGCTCTCAGGTGCCTCCGCCGGGATAGCCCGGGGAGCCATGTCCGTCCTCCAGAGCTGGAGGCGTGGGGGGAGGGCTGGACATTGCAAGCCTGAGAGGCCAGCTGGCGCTTTCGTCCCAGGGTTCCACGAGGCCGAGGCCGAGGCAGCCACCAGGTGTGAGCAGTGCCCCTTCCTGCCAGTCCCACCCAAGTCCCTCCACCTGGGCCCTCTGCTGACCCTCAGCCTCCATGGCCTGACCTGAGGCCTTCAACAGCTGCAGCCTGTCCCTGGGCTCTCCTAGAGCTGCCCCCCGCCCCCCCAGCCTGTCCTGGGAGCACTAGTGGGGTGCTGCCTCCCCTTCATCCTCCACCTTTCCACTTGACCCAGACCCTGTTCTTCCCGCAGCCCCTTGCCAGCACAAGACCTACCCCCCCTCGCCCCGGCCATGGGTGGTCCCCCTACTCTGCATCCTCCGAGTAGTCACCCAGGCTGTCCCTGGAGGCTGTCTGTGGCCCTCACCCCTCTATATGCCTTTCCTGGGCCTCTCGCCAAGTTTACTGCCATCTTTTGCATAGGATCCAAGTACTGCCCTCCAGGCCGGGACGCCCTGGTGCTGTGGCCCAGCAAGGCTCCCCAGGGGTCCCCAGCACTGCCACCCCTCGCGCCCTCTGTCTCCTGCTGTGTCAGCCCCTGGAGGCGGCGCTCAGGTGCTCACGGTGCCTGGTGTCTCCCCGGGCGTGATCCCTCCCTCTCTCCTTCCCCATTGAAGCTCTGGCACGTGGGCGCGTGGGCGCCTTCTCCCTGGTTAAGGAGGCTCCCCAGTTCCCCGGCCGCTGGTTCACACCTCGGCTCCACAGAATAAACGGTTTATGTGGCCTCCACCCTGTCCACCCACTGCCCTCGGCTGACCAGGCGGTGCCCCGGCGCGCTCCTGAGGGCGCTCGGGGAGCACAGCGGAGGGGGCCCATGGCGAAGGGGGCTGGCCTTCGCGATGCTCTGGAGCCCGGGCCCAGCAGAGGCAGAGCCCGCCCCTCGGCCAGGGCGGGCCTCCGGGGGCGGGGGCGCTGGGCCGGAGGCACTCTTGGGGGTCCCCTGCTGCTGCGGGCGACGCAGCTGCCGAAGCCGCCTGGTGCGCTCGAAGTCCTCTCTAGGCTCCGCCGGATTATCTGCTGTGGACGCATCGGGGGGGTCAGGCGGGGCGCGGGGGAAGCCCTGCCGCCCGCCCCTCGGACACGACCCACCTGCGCAGCGCGAGCCCGAGCGGAAGACGCGGGCGGGGCGGGCA